GTCGGTACTGACTCGATGGCACCTAACAACAACAACAATAACAACAATGCCTAGGATATGGATGTTTATGTGATCCATTTCATTTTTTACAATTTCCAATTTTAGCTTCATAGTTCCTAGATTCATGTTCCCATTATTAATGGATGTTTGCAGCTGTTTCTCTTCATTTTGAGTTGTGCCCCATCAGCAAATGAAGGTCCCAAAGGCTTTACTCTATTGCGTCATCACGGTCAACTCCACTTTGAGGAGGCAGCTCTTCCCCAGTCATATTTTGAGTGCCTTCCAACCTGAGGGGTTCATCTTCTGGAATTATATCTAACAATATTCTGATGCTCTTCATCATGTTTCAGTATTCAAAATCCTGGCGCTGACAGTGTTCCACTGCTATTCATAAGGTCTTCAGTAACTAACATATGGAAGTAGCCCATCTCTTCTTCTTCCTGGTCTAGCTTCGCCTGGAAGCTCAGGTGAAACCTGTCCTTGTGGTGACCCTGCTGGTATTTAAAATACCTGTGACATAGCTTCCAGCATCACAGCAACACGCAAGCCACCACAGTACGGACAAACTGACAGATGAGTGGTGGTGAACTACTGAAAAATGAGCCATTGTAAACCAGCTGGGGCACAGTTCTACTGATACACATGGGTTCTCCTTAGTCCGGATCAACTCAGCAGCAGCTTTCACTTTTCCTCATAAATGATTTACAATGACATAATATCCGAGAGCTTGCAAAGCATTTTTACCTTTATTTCATTTCATCTGCATTGGTGGAAGGTCAATCCAGCCATGTTTGTTTGTTTTTTATTGTGGGAAATATATATGTAACAAAACATTAGCCATTTCAACTTTTTTTGACATGCACAATAGTGACATTAATTACACCCATCATGTTGTACAATCATTCCATTCATGTTTAACTAATGAAGAAACTGACTGAGAGAGGTGGTTTATAAACTTCAACTAGAGCCTCAGCCCATCAAGATTCCCTAAATTTATTGATATAACAATCACTGGCATGCTTGTTAAATATATAGATTGCCAAATCCTCTCTCTCCCAATTCTAATTCTGAAAGTCTGGGTTGGGACTCAGGAATCAATAGTGGAATAAAGATCCCAGGTAACACCATTTATCTTCAGGTAAGTCTAAAAGCAGCGCCATTCATTGATCTATTAACGTAACTAAGATTCTTCGGGTTCCAACTATGATATGGGAAGAACAAGACAAACAAGGCAGTCCCCAGCTTTAAAGTGCTAGCAGCAGTCTGCTGAGCATCCGAGGTCCCATGGCTGGTGTTGGAACTGCAAGCCAGGTGAGCCCTTCCTGCTAGGTGAGATAACCTCCCTGGGGATATAGGTCTGGGATCCTGGCTAAGCCTTCTTAGAAGTCTACCTTCCATTTTCTAACACCTGCTCAGATCCAAGCCTGTGGTTCTCCTGAGCTGGAGCATCAAAGGACAGGAGTCAGGAGCAGGTGGGTAGAGTACTTAGCACTTGTGCTAAGCACATGATGTTGTTGAGTACCGTTGAGTTGGTTCTGATTCATAACAACCCTGTATAGGGTTTCCAAGGTGTGGCTAGTGGGTTTGAACTGCCAACCTTGAAGTTAGTAGACCAATGCTTATCCTATAGGGCCAAACCAGGACTATATGCCTGGCACATAGTAAGTGTTTAGTAAGTGTTAGTCAGCTGTTCATATGCTTGCTAAGTAACCTGGTGGCATAGCGGTTAAGTGCTGGGCTGCTAACTGAAAGATTCAAGCCCCTCTAAGGGAGAGAAGACCTGATAATTGTTCCTATACAATTGTTGTTGTTGTTATGTGTCCAGTTGTGTCAGTCTTTCCAAGGAACAGCTGGCGGATTTGAAGCACGGACTTTTCAGTTAGCAGTTCAGCGCATTAACTCACAACGTCACACCAGGACTCTCCCATAAAGATTGTTGTTGTCGTTAAGTGCCATTGAGTCGATTTCCACCCATAGCAACCCTGTATAGGGTTTTGGAGGAGCAGCTGGTGAGCTTGAACTGCCAACCTGCAATTCAAACGGCTTTGCAGTCTGGCGCATTAACCCACAGCGCCACACCAGGACTCCCCATAAAGATTGTTGTTGTTGTTAAGTGCCGTTGAGTCGGTTCCGACTCATAGCGACCCTGTACAGGGTTTCCGAGGCTGTAAATCTTTACGGGAGCAGAACGCCTCATCTTTCTCCCGCGGAGCGGCTGATAGTTTCAAACTGCTGGCCTTTAGGTTCGCAGCCCGATTCGTAACCACTACATTACCAGAGCCTAGTAAACCCTATAAGGCAGTCGGACCCTGTCTTATAGGACTGAGTTGGAATCACTTTGATAGCATACAACACTGCAACACTGCATTTGTCATGCTTAGGGAAGGATATGGGGGGTGGAGAAAGAGAAGGAACCCTCCTATGTTGAAGAAAACAAATCAGTTTGACTCTGAGGCACGGATTTGCATTTCTTTAAAGGTAATCTCTGCCCTGCCCTGATTTTGCAGCTGGAAGGAAGGCTAGGTAAAAGGCTCTCTGTTGTGCAGATAAGGAAAATGGGGCCCAGAGATATGGAAGTTCGTCATCTTGATCCAAGTCTCCTGGTGGGCAGGAGTTTCGGAACCTGGTTAGGTTTTTTCTTGGATCCCTTGGGTGATGTGTTTCTGAGAAGGGATCTCAGAAGATATCACAGGAGACTCTTCACACCTGGGCTGAGTAACCCAGGAAGCCATGTAAGCCCAGGCTTACTTGTGCTTACTCACTTATCTGTAGTGAACAATTGTACATGGGTACTCTGTCCTTGTCAGGATGGTAAGTGTGAAAAGAAAGTGATTCTGTAGGGGATGGGAGAGGCACAGATGCCAGCCAGACCTAGAAGCAGAATCTTTGATGTGAAAAAGTGTGAAATTATCCACTATAGATGAATAAATAAACGAAGTAACTTGTGCTTACCTTGCTCATTGGCTAATCCAAACGACACTTGTGGGTCACGATCATCAGTCAGATGCACTCCAGTTTCGGCAAACTCTTCCCTTTTCAGAAGACAAAAACTTCCTGAGCAGTCCTGCACCCCTCCCCCATTCACGAGGAAAGCACTTGAGGGTTGAACATGTTCTTGTCCCCTTGCGTGGGTCTTCACTGGGAGCTCACCTTCTTTGTCAGAGGATGGTTAGGCCAGTCAGACATTTCCCAGCACCACGTGATGAAGATCACACTCACTGCCATGACGTAGATTCCGAGACTCAAAGAGACCAGATATAGGGTTTGCAAGACAGTAAAGAGAGTCTCATCTTCTTCCCCGGAGTGGCTGGTGAGTTGAACTGTCAACCTGGAGGTCAGCAGCTCACAGCGTCACCAGGGTTCCTGATGAAGACCCCAGAGGGATAGAAAAGGCAGGCATCCCAGAGGAGGCAGAAGTAGGAAAGTTTGCCAGACTGTCTCAGAACAAGGTCTCTCGCCCCTAAAGCAGAAGGGTGCCAGGGTGCTCAGATGCCCAGGCCGAGCAAACCAGGCGTCCTAGACCGGTGCAAGTACCTAGCGCCCCGCCAGTTTTGCAGAGCTCCTTCCCACCAGGCCCAGGTCCCACCCGCCTCCTGCAGGGGGTCCCTCTCCACCCACCCCCAACGGGGGGTGGCATGTGATCTTAAAGTTTCAGGCAGGGAGGAAGGACGGGGGCGGGGCGGCTACGTAGGCCGGGATATAAGGGGCGAAGGCGCAGCTCCTAGGTCCACCAGCCCACCATGCACGCCCACCGCCTGCCGTTGCTTCTCCTGCATGCCTGCCGGGTTCTGCTCCAGGTGGGCGCCGAGACGGTGGCCACTCTGCCGCTGCGAACGCTGGGGCAGCCCTCGTCGCCGTCCCCTCTCGCATATATGTTGAGGCTCTACCGCGACCCGCTGCTCCGGACAGATATCATTCGCAGCCTGCAAGCTCAAGGTAACCTGCACCGTTCCAGCCCTGACGGCCCGGGACACCCTGGGTTCGGCACCCAGGAGCCCTGTCTCTTAAGGCCCTGCTCCGGATTCCGGACGTGTGCGGGAGTGGGCAAGGGCTAGGTGAAGGGACGCCACTGTCTAGGTGTCCTATTGCGATCGGGCGTGTCCAGGGACTGGGTCTGGGGAGTGTTTCCGGATTCCCAATGGTTTCGGTGGCGCTGAGGATAATGCACTGGACCGGAAGGTCGGTTTGAACCGCAAGGTCGGTTCAAACTCACCAGCCACTCCATGGAAACACTATACAGGGTCACCATGATTCGGAACTGACTCGACAGCACTTAATAACAACAATGGTTTCGGTAAGCATGGTTGGGGATCCATGCTTACCGAAAGCTGAGGTGGGGAGTGGATTCTGACGTCCCGCGTCTGGGTTTGGGGTGGATAGTGCGCCGCGCTTTTGGGTAAGAGCCTGATTACGTCATTCTTAACTGCTCCCCTATTTGCGTTACTTAGTCTTCTGGCGCCTCAGTTTCCGCATCTGTAAAATAGGGTTGTAGTTCCCCCATTTTAAGACGGCTGAGAGGGCTAGATGGCAAATTACATAAAACGCTTGGTCCAAAATCTAGCATATTGGCCAGTAATTATTATTGCTGTATATCTTTTGTCGATTTTTTTTTTGCGGGGGCGGGGGGATGGTTTGCGGGTGAAGGCGAATGGCGTTCGGAGTGTGTCGGGCTGCAGGTGTGCTTCGAAGTCGAGTTCAGGGATTAAAGGGTCCAGGATTAGGGAGAAGGGGGCCCCGAAGTCGAGAAAATTGAGGATGTGCCCACGTCCCGAGTGATAGCAGGTTCGGAGACCTAGATGGAAGCGTGTAGGTGTCCTGGCCGTAGTGATTGGGAAATACTGAGGACCCGCGTTGTGAGCACCTGGCAAGTAGGCAGGTGAGTACTCAGAAGAGGGCGTCTTGTCCTAGGACCCCCTTTCTTTGCACAATCCACATCTCGCCGCCCGGGGCTACCCCTGACTCCGGGGGCCAGACAGCCCTCCCGGGGTTGGGCGCAATCCACATCAGCTAATCTGATCGGACGGCCGCCTGCCGGCCCTCGTGACCTGGGGGCGGAGACTCCCATCTCCTCTGCCCGCAGCGTCTGGGATCGGTTGCTGGTGACCCTCTCCGGAAGGGTCATCTGGGGACTAGTCCCGGTGGAGGACATCCTGGGAGCGAAGCAGTGAGAAAGTTGATTGTGGACTCACGCCTTTTCTCTAGAAAACTGTCGAAGGTGGAACGGAACGGGGCAAAAGGGCGGGGGAGGAGGGTAGCCTCGCATTTTTCAGTTCACTTCCTCCTTCCTGAAAATCTCACTGGCCGGGAGTCCAGAAAACTGGATGATTCTGGTTTCTCAAACCCTGCTTCTCAATTCTAGCACATTACTTAACTTCTGGGAGTCCTGGTGTGGCGCTGCGGGTTAATGCGCCAGACTGCAAAGCCGTTTGAACTGCAAGGTTGGCGGTTCAAACTCATTGTAAATTGCACCATCACCGCAGAGTGAAATGAGCCTTGGAATCAAACAAAATTGAGTTTTCTTTTCCATCTGTCACTGTGTAACTAGCTAGTTTAACCTTCACTTTGGGAGCCTGAGGAAATTGACCTTCAGTTTCCTCATCTGCAAGATGGTGATAACACTGGGTGGTTTGGGGAAGTGAGATTTAAGGAGACAATGCTTGTAAAACACTTGATGCTTGGGAAGCAGTTAGTGGTAATTTACCCCTACCAATTATAATAATGTAGGTTGGGCACTCCTATCTTTTTCCACAGAGCCTTTAATCTTTCCTCAGCCTCACTGCCCTGTTTAAGGGGAGAAGGTGTCGGTTGAGGGGAAGGGAACTGAACACAAGGGTTTCCTTCTTTTGATATGGAGGTGTGTCAAGGTAGCCCATGGACTTGTGTGTCCAAATCTGCTTTAGTGCGTGGATGGATTCCAGTGTGTCCACGAATGACTTCCTCATGTTGAGTGCATATGTTTAAGTGGGTGGATGCATTCTTTTCATGTGTGTGTGTGTGTATATGCATTTTTAGCTTGTATCAGGCATTGATGACCCCCAGAAGGTTCAAAACTCCTCCTAAAATGAGGGTCTGGGTAGTACAGTTTACTGGTTACTAACCAGAAAGGTTGGTAGTTCAAACCTACACAGCAGCAGTGTGATTACGAAAGCAAAGCCCTGTGAGCTCAGCTCTAGGAGTTGAGAATCCTGAACAGCAACAGGTTTTCTTCCTCCCAGACTCTTTCAGGAGCTGGAAGCAAGCAGTCCCCTGCCCCTCCATGAACACCACCCACCCTCCATCCCAGTTACAGAAGACTTCACTCCCCTGCCCCAGTCCACCCTGGCCTGTACTGTACCTTCGCTTCTGATTTTTAAACCTGGGCAGTAATGCGGAGTTACCAGTGACAGCCAGCTCTTATTTGTGGTTCATGTGGGTTCCATTCTTAGCGAGTGCACCTCATGCCCAGCTAGGAAATGCACAGATTTCAGCGGAGTGACCTAAGGCAGTAGGGAGGGTTTAGTTCCATTGTGCATGAGGTCCCAATGAGTCTGGGCAGTTTACAATATCTCAGTTAATTCTCATAATGCCCCTGCGAGATCGATATTATTACCGCCTCCCTTTTACAGAACGGGAAACTGAGGCCCAGAGAAGCCTGCCCAATGTCAAACAGCAAGTGGCAGGGTCAGAACTTGAACCATCAAAGCCCTCTTTATCTGGAACACCCGCCTCTAAAAGGCCATTTGCGGATACTTGAGATCAAAAATTTTTTTAAGTCAGCACCCTCAGATCTTAAGGGGCAGGACATGTCCCACCTTGAGCAGAACCCAATGACCTACCTAATCCCCTAGTGGCCAGGCGGGACTCCAGTGGGTGATAAATACTGCCACCTCCTGACCCTACATTTCTGGGCAGAGTTGCTAGTCAAGGGCGGTTATTCCCCCTGGAGTTGCTAATGAGGAGGGAAATGGAAATTAAGTGAAAAGGACCAGTTGGATTGGGCTGGGAGGAGCTGCCAGGGAACTGAAACTGGGAAATGCCCCCCAGTCCTGTAGGAGTGGATTTCCCCGTGAATTTTACTTAACATTAGTTAGTTGACCAAAGATGCTTTTGGCGAGACAGTAAAAAATATAAAATAGTACGTGGTCTGTCCAGAGTGGACCCTAAATCCGAGACCACTACTACTCCGGATCTATTTACAAAAGAATCCCAGACCCCTTTTTATTTTGAATGAAAACTCCATGACTTTTATCTACTAGAAATAGTTAATAAGCCCAGTCTTTGAAACCTTGTGGAGCACAAGTCTACTCTGACATACATGCAGTTGCCAAGAGTTAGAATCTACTGGTGACAAATGTTTTTTACTGGTTTTTGTTTAGCAACAAGCCTTCAGAGCACTTTATTTCCCTTGGTCTTCATGACAATGCAGAGATAGGTGGGGTGTTACTATGCCCATTACAAAGAAGAGGAAACAGTTTGGAAAAAGTCTAAATGTCATTTTTAAGTGACTCAAAAATCTGTAAATATGTGCTGTTCCCAAACATGGAACCAAATGAATCCTGAAGAAAAATAAATGGAATATGCGTCATCCCCAATCCTTCTCTTCAAGCTTGAGTTTGGCTCGTGGGGGTGGGGCTTGTGCAATTGCTGCTTGTCTGCCTTCAATGTTGTTGTTATGTGCCATCCAGTCAGTTTCGACCCATAGCGACCCTGTACAGGGTTTCTGAGGCTGTAAATCTTTATGGGAGCACAAAGCCTCATGTTTCTCCCACGGAGCTGCTGGTAGTTTCGAACTGCTGACTGTGAGGTTAGCAGCCCCCACTACGCTACCAGAGCTCCTTTGTCTGCCCTCAATAGGTGTTAGGTAAGAGCAGATGACCTGGACAGAGGGGAGTGGGTGTCACATGGGTGAATAGGGAAGACCACTGGGTGGAAACCCTCAAGGTCTATGCAGACATGCCTGGAATACCTTAAAGACCCATTTGTAAGCTTGCCAGACATTCTTTACATTTCTGCTTCCCTGGCTGGAAACTAGTGTAGGAGAGGGTGGTTGCCTTACTCAGAGCCCCATGCCTTTCACAGGGTTTCTCTTAGAAGGTTCAGGACTGGCCTCAGCCCATATGCATGAGGGGGCAGTCAGGTGGAAATCATAATAGCAGGCAGGGTGTCTCTGTGGGGAAGGGGCATACCAGTGACTGGGAGTTTGGGCAAATCCAGGTTTGATTCTTGGCTCTGCCACCTCCCAAGAACGATGCTTTGGGCAGGTAATTTAACCTCTTTGAGCCTCAGCTTCCTTCCTCATCTTTAAAATGAACTCAATAACATAGTACCAATTTGTAAGGTTAGCACGAGGAATAACACTGGAAGGGCTTAAACATGAGCTATATAGAATCTTTTGAGGCTACAGGCAGGAGATCTCCCTGACTCACCTTCTTTCCTTCCTGATTTTGCTCCCACCCAGATGTGGAAGTGGAGGGGCAGAAATGGACCTTTGCTTTTGACTTCTCCTTCCTGAGCCAAGAAGAGGATTTGGCGTCGGCTGAGATCCGGCTGCAACTCTCCAGCCCTGCAGACCTTTCCTCCGAGGCTCCACTTGACATTGAGATTTTCCACCAACCAAAGCTGGACTCCAAGCAGGACCTAGCCAGCTGCCAGGAGCGTCTTAAGGTGGACCTGTTCACTGTCACTCCATCTCAAGTCACCTTCTCCTCGGGCAGCATGGTCCTGGAGGTGACCAGGCCATTCTCTAAGTGGCTGAAGCACCCCAGGAAGCTGGAGGAGCAGATGGCCAGGCAGGCTGGAGAGTGTCGGCAGCGACCCCCGAAACCGCCCATCACTGATGTGCTACTCATGCTCTACTCCAACCTCTCCCAGCAGAGGCAGCTGGGCAGTTCCATGCTGCTATGGGAGGCTGAGAGTTCCTGGCGGGCCCAGGAAGGACAGCTGTCCCGGGAGAGAGGTAGGCGGCACCGGCGAAACCACTTGCCAGACAGAAGCCAACTCTGTCGGAAGGTCAAGTTCCAGGTGGACTTCAACCAGATTGGATGGGGCTCCTGGATCATCTACCCCAAGCAGTACAATGCCTACCGCTGTGAGGGCGAGTGTCCCAACCCTGTGGGGGACGAGTTCCATCCGACCAACCACGCGTACATCCAGGTGTGGTGCATGGGGGAAGAGGCAGTGAGTTGTGGGGGACGGGGCTGGATCAGGGGACCATGACCTCAGCTTTGTATTAAATCACTGCATTCATTTCTTCATTCCTAGTTACTTGAGTATCTGCAGTGTGTAAATCCTGAGCCAGGAACTGGGAATGTAGACAGTACCCTAGAACCTACAGCCGTGTCCCTCTGTGTAGCGCTGAGCACACAGCTTCCCTGAGCCTTTATTCCTTTTGGAAAATGAAGGGGCTGAACTAGAGGGTCTTAGGTCCTCCTCAGCCCCGACATGCTTAGAAAGGAAGTTCAGAATCTTGGATTTATGGGAGAAATGGGCCTGGGTTTGATTCCTATGGGGTTCTGGTGTGACGCTGCAGGTTAATGCACTGGACTGTAAGGTTGGTTTGAACTGCAGGGCCTGTGGTTCAAGCTTACCAGGTACTCCTTGGAAACCCTATATAGGGTCACTGGGTCAGAACTGACTCAAAGGCACTTACCAAGAAGTGGTGTAGTTGTAAGTTGCTTACTTTTCTGAACCTCTGCTGCCCCACCTGTGAAACGTAGTTGAGAGGGGGTGTGTAGGGTTACATAAAGCATGTATCATGGATGCCAGGTAATGGGCCTGTTTGATGTTATTAGTACCAGATGTGCCTTCAAGTGGTGACCACATTTATGGTGCCACAGCGAGGCAATAATATTCTAGCCACTGTACTTTTGCTGCCTAGAACAGGCATTTGCCACCTGTTTCACAAGCATAGATAAAGTCAGACTACCACTGGATGCCACTAACCAGCTTAAGGTCTAGGAGATGGTGAGAGGTGAGTCAGGAAGGAGAATGAGATGAGGAGAGGAGAGAAGAATGTCCATTTTGGTGGTTCTGATGTTTGAAATGGTTTTGATCTTCCCCCAAAGACCCTATAGGACCAAAGTTTTCTGTTCTAATCTGTAAAGCCTTTGGTGAGCACATCTTGGACCTCCATCCTCTATACCGCAGCTGGGTTCAGAGACTCCGGGGAGCTTGGCCATATGAACTGAGCTCATGCAAGGGAAGACGTACAGGTGGCGGCAGGGTCCTCACAGGAGTCAAGGCCCTCCTGAGCCTCAACCAGGAACCATGTTGGTTGTTAGGTGCCATCGAATTGGTTCCAACACATAGCGACCATGTATAGGATTTCTGAAGCTGTAAATCTTTCTCCCGTGGGAACCATAGAGACCTTGCTAGACCTCAGGGACACAGCCCACTTCCAAAAGGCCAAGGGGTTGTTACCTTTTCTCCTATTGCCTTCATTTGCCCTTCTCTGAGCAGTAAAACAAATCCCACAAGAATTTCTTCATAATTGCCTATTCGGCTTCATAGTTCTGGAGCTAAACCAGGAAGTTTCTAGCAACATTTTAAAAACTGGTATTCACTGTAGACTTCAAAAATAGGAGAACATGTAAGTTAAGAACTGCTCTTTCCACATACATGTTAGGGTTTACTAAAGTCAGTTTAAAAGAAAAGCCACTAATAGTTATTTTAGGCAGGGCTGATGTATTGATATGCTGATTCCATTATGGAAGATGTTTTTTCTAGTTTTATACCCAGAAACTTCTTTCAACTTTCTGTTACTGTTTACCACTGGCCTGTGAATTAACCCTCCTCTCCTTCCATTTAGAGTCTGCTGAAACATTATCAGCCCCACCGTGTCCCTTCTACCTGCTGTGTCCCCGTGAAGACCAAGTCACTGAGCATGCTCTACGTGGAAAATGGCAGAGTTCTTCTAGACCACCATAAAGACATGATTGTGGAAGAATGTGGTTGCCTCTGAAGAGATTCTGAAGGGCTGCTGGATTTGGCTGTACCCTGGAAAGTTGAAAGCTCCTAGAAGATATATGATTACCATCTAATCCAATGAGGAGAAACAAAGAGGGGAAAATGTTTGCTCTGTCCACTAGAACTGAAGAGGAAGGGCCATCCACTCTAGGAATGGAGGGATGGGTGAAGTAAATCCACACAAACATTTCCTCCTAACTCTCTTATTCCATGGAGTCTGGCGAAAACAGACTGCTGTGTAGGAGAGAGGGAGGAAGAAGGTAGCGAAGGCTTGCTGGGCTCTCCACTGAAGACAGTGGTGAGTTACAACATGAGGATTAGAGCGCTTTACTGATGGTTTCACTCGTGAGCTTCCTGAAAGGGCGTGTAAAAGTTGGGGCACATGGGAAATTTTTTTTTTTTTGAGGTGGGACAAGTTTCATAGCTTTTAATATATTCTCAAGGAGACACCCCTCCCCCCCTAAAAAATGTAAGCATCACTCTTAAATATCACATCTGTCTGCTCTCGTTGACCCAGGCTAGGTTGAGGGAGCCCCTTCATCTTCTGATTGCTCAGCAGCACCCACGGGACTGGCTGCCTTATCCAGAGGCTCCCTGGAATGGGTCTCTGCTAATGATTTGCACAAATAATAAAGAGTTATTGTAGAGTTCTCCTAAGCCAGCTGGTACCTTTCAAGGGAGAAGCAGGAACTCATCCAATGGGACTGGTCCTGTTGGACTCTGGAAGGTGGTGACCTTCAGGCATCCATCTGAGTCAGTCTGCTTGAGCAGACACTATTCAGTCTATTAAAGTTGGTGACAATTTGTCTGTCTCTCTGTGTGTGCTAGTAACAAGGCCCTAAACTTTATACTCAGCAGGGGTGAGGGTCCTGCTCTGGTTGGAAGGGAAGACTCGGGTGCTGGTTGTAGTTCAACCAGAGAAACGATGACTTCAGCTGAGTGATTTACTGCTCAGCTTCTCCCTGCCAAAGGAAAGAAGGAATCCTACTGCATTCTTGTGAAATGTCTGCTGTCTGGCTCAGAAGCATTGTGAAATTTAAGCCAGACTGCCTCTGTGCCTGTCCCCATTTGCCTCTGAACCTTAAAAAAACCCTGCGAAGTCCAGACCTAGTCATGTCCCCTTTCTCTGATCTTTATCAGTCTTATCTGGGTGTCCCAAATGGTTACCTTGCTTGACTAACCAAAAGGTTGGCAGTTCAAATCTACCCAGAGGCACCTTGGAAGAAAGTCCTGCAGATCTACTTCTGAAAGGTCATAGACCCTGAAAACTGTCTGGATCACAGTTGTTCTGATACACATGGGATCAGTATGATTATAGTTAGCAGACCTTTTTTCTGCACAGGGCTCTACAACACTTAAGCCCAGGTTCCACATAACAGCATAGCAAAAGGAACTCCAGCTTTCTTGTAGGAAGGTCTCCCACCCACTACCTGAACACTAGAGTTCATCTTCTGGATGAAAAGATCTCAAAGTTAGCAATTTTACTCTTAACCTGTTGACCTCATTGAGCACTAAAATGAGGGCTAGAAAGCTCTCTTTATTGGCATGGAGCCCACAATAAGGTACCTTCCCCCTGCTTTCCTAGTAAACCACTTAAGAAAATGATGCCAGTCTGAGTTTAGGCAGGCTTCAACAGTAATCCTGGCCTGGCATTTGCTAGTCAGGCCTGGGCTTGAGCAGCCTCAATTCCCTGATTCAGCAACAAAACAAACCCAGAACTGGAATCAGACCTGCCTAGGTTCTGGTCTAACCACAATCCAGGATCCTACATTTGACCTGAGAACAGAGGTCAACTTAAAAAAAATGAGACGCCAGAGCCAAGTGACCAGACCACACTGCTGTAAAGTGACAGAGCCAGCAGCTTTGCCCGGTCTCCGGAGTCCTGAGGACAGGGGTATTCATTGGGTTTTCTTGCTCCCCTTGCATTGAGTCAAAGCCTTATCCTTGATTTGAACTCAACCGCACTATTGAACTGAAATTCTTGGCAGTGAAAACCCCATCTATCCTTTATTTAGAGCATCTGCCCCAACAGTTCTTGCATGCCTGGGGCCAAGGAAAGCTAAAGGGCAAGCTATTTGTGGCTACAGCTTGTGGGAATGTTGAAGAGTTAGCAATTCCATTGAGTTTGAGACTACCACTCCTGATGGCAAGCCTGTCTCACATAAGGAAGATACAGGCACAAAGCCATTCCACTATGAGCATCTTGCTGGCCCCAGCTGAAAGCTCTACACTTGGTGTGCTAGCAGAGGCAAAGCCCACCTACCCCTGCTTGGCAGCAGGCTTCAGCCATGGCTGTGGACCCTATGCGCTGACTGAAAGCTTTGTTAATTCAGAGGAAATGTTGCCTTGAACTGTGTCCTGCCTTAACCTGGGGCCTGGAAGTGCTTAACAATCAGGAGTTATTTTAACTTGCTTTCCAGGCAGAGGTCTAATATTCCTCGGGCTGTGCCAAGTCAGTAGCTGAGTGGGAAAAACTGGATGCCTTCTCTAGCGGCTGGAAGTGGGTGGGTCTGGCAGGAGGTTAGTGGAGAAAAAGACAAGAGTAGGAGAAATGCAGGTTTCACAAGTGGTTGTGAAGCCTATAGCACCTTAGCCAGCAGCCATGGAGTCTTGGTGTGGTGCCACAGGATAAACATTGGACTGTTAACCCCAAGATCCTGCAGCTCAAACCTTGGAAACCCTGGCCAGGAACCAACCTTCTAAAAAGTCTTCCATTTTATTAGCAGTAAAATCCTTGTCCCTCTACCTTGCCTTTGGGCCACAGTAAAGGACGTGTAACAGTGCTTTTAAAATGATCCTGGCCCCATCTTCCCATACAGGTTCTTTAGGCTAGAGTACTTCTAGAGGGTCCCAACTATAGACCCCTAATCTATTCCATTCCCAAGCTGGGGAAAAAGCCCAACTCAGTGACCTCTGGTTGTTCATAATATTTTTATTTTACTCTTAATGAATTGGTGTGGTGCTGTAGGATATGCAATGGACCACAAGGCTGGTTTGCACGGCTCCCTGGGAACCCTAGGCAGGGTTGCTATGAGTTGCAAATGACTTGACAGCACTTAAAAATGAACTGGGCACTGGGCTAAGTGTTTCCCTTACTGTATATCTCAACAACAAAGCAGTTGTCCAGAAGACTTACGAGTCTTCTAAGCCTTGAGCAGGCTACATTATCTCTAATGGGCCACTAGACAGCATAGCTGGAATCCAACCTGACTTCAGAGCCCTGAGCTGCTAGCTGAAAGGTCAGCAGATGGAAGCCACTAACCGCTCTCTGGGAGAAAGGTTTAGGGCCTAGAAAGTTCTATTGGCCAGTTCTACCCTGTCCTATAGGATTGCAGTGGTAGAGATGGGTAACTGCAAAGGGGCTGCCTTAGACTGCTGTAGTACACTATGCTGTGGGAGTCCTGGGGTGGCACTGTCGAACCACAAGGTCGGCAGTTCAAGATCACCAGCCGCTCCTCAGAAACCCTGTACAGGGTCACCACAAGTCAATGGCACTGCTGGAAACACACCTCAAGCTCAGTTTTAGTCTGTGAACTTGTTCCCAAAATTAAAACATGAAAGGACAAAATTCTCATTACCCCAACTGTGTTGCCTGCAACTTGCCAGATTAACAACAGAGAAGGAATGGGATACTCCTGACATAACACAGCCCTGTTTACAGCTGCCTAGCACATGCTTGGTGGGGCAATGGCAGCCCCTCCGAGAACTGGCAAGGCTGTCTCTATGGCAGCACGTGCCCCTTCGCCTCCCAGCTCCTGAGCACAGGACTATGGTCTTGCTTCTTGAGAGGACTGACATCCTCTCCTTGCACATACAGGGCCAGAAAGAATGACAAGGTGTGGAGAAAAAGTGAAACATACAGAGACCCCCGACCTCACCAGTCAGAATTCCCCAAATGTGCAAACCCTCACCAGGATTTTAAAAAATTAAAGCCCAAAGTTGAATTCAAGATCTTTATTGATTGAACTGTAACAGCAACCATTGATGAGAATGAAAATGTTTTCTTAATTTCAAACTACCTGCTGGTTTTGAATCTGAATCATGGAAATCATTCAGGACTGAGCGGGGGCCCTCTGTCCCCCATCCATGACAGTGAAATGGACAGGCGAGGGGACAACCACACAGGAGACACCAGGAAAACCAAGGGATGCGCTGGCAACCTCCACTTTCCATTCAGAATGGATTGAGCCACCGGTGGCACCAAGACAGGCAAGGGCATTTTCTTTATAAAATATTTTAAAGATGCTTAAAATGGACCCCTGAATATGTGAATGTCCTCTGGCCTCTGGGGCACCACTGTCAGGTGAGGAAAGGCACTGGCTCCCAGTGCGCGGTGATGCAGACACAGCCTCGGGAGCAGGATGGCTCACCCACACAACTCACCCGTTACCTCACATCCCTGCTCACCCCCAACAGACACACTCCCATGGCTTCCAGAGAAAATCACCCCTAGCCTAGGCCTGGGTTTCTCTTCCTTTACAGATGAAGATAAACAGCGAGGGGTACACCGGAACTAGAATGGATATTCAGTGCTAGACTCATGGGACTCTCTGAGCACGGGCAGGAGCTCCCTTGGGAAGTTCCACTATGACCAAATGACTATCAAGCATGGCAGCAGCTCTCTAGCTGCCTCCCACCCAGGAAGGTGTCAGAGTGGGAGCTGTTACATCTCAGTAAGATTTTCCACATCTATGACCTACAGTGTAGTGGAAACCAAAGATCATCTGACAAGGAGCTCAGAAGACCTTCCCTTTATTTAAGCATTGACAAATGGTATTAGCTTCCAGGAGCAGCCTACAGAAAGAACTTTAAATTCCAGAGGGTAGTGGGTAGAGTGAATGATTACTTGGAAAAATAACTACCAAGTATTCTTAATAGTCTTTAGCAAGAAGTGTCTTGAGCTAGCCTCCAGGAAATGGCAATGTTAAACTGGAAAGTCACTATCACTACTAGGACAGGAAATGTTCCTGGAATATAAGCATTCTAAAAAATTGT